CAAAACAGATCTCAATGGCCCTGCTCTTTTTTTGTCTCTTCCCCCAACCCACACCCTGGGTGGGGGGGATGGAGACATCTTAAAATCTCCTGGACACCTTAAGTTCTGGACCCCATTTCAAATGCCCATTTGGGGTCCCCCCTCTTGGCTGCACCCTGTAACACTACTACTGCCTGGAACAAAGGAGGGACGCAGGAACTATTAACTAAGATAATGAATTAATCTCATTATTTCTAGCATAGGACTTGATGAAACTCTTTCACAAAAAATTCACTAGGGAAGGCTGTCTCCTGGGATAAATCTGTATGCCATCTTCTGAAGGAGGTAAGTAAGTAACCCTACCTGAGGACAATGGGTCTTTTTTCTTTTAAATTTAATTTAGATGGCCAGGGGTCAGATAATGCATAAATATCCCAAAGGGAATTTAAAGATCTGTGAATTTACTCTAACATCACTAGGCATTTGCTTTCTTCTGCCTTTCACCTCTACCAGGAAAAGGTGAGTGGGATTAGACTTTTAAAATGCAACTGAGATATTTTTTTCAGTTGCTTCTTATTTCAAATGAAAACTGCTGCATTTTTTTCTTGCAAGCAAAAAAGTGAAGTAGTTCGGTCACTTTTTAGCATTTAGTTTGCTACAGAAGCAATTGAGAAAAATGAGAAAAATGAATTTGAGAAAAATGTCAACTATTTAAAATACATTTTTCCTTGTACATCACTATATTTAAATGTGAATTAAATAGCTTTCAAATAAAACTACTGTTGAATGTAAAAAGTAACTGATTGGACATTCAATGAAAACATACTCAAGCCAAAAATGTTTTCAAAATAAAATTAGCATCTGAATGGTCTTGATAGGGGACTTAAGACTTAGAAAATTTTATTTTATGTAATAGCTAATAAATTTAGTAATCCATGCAGGTAAAAGTTTTGTTCCAGGAACTGAAAATGTGACCCACTCTGACTCCAGAAGACCATAAGCAGTTCCACCTTTGTTCCTCAGGAGGATTGCAAGCAATTCAAGATGATATCTGAGCCACTGTACTCCTGGTTGAGATGATCACTGCCTCGGGCACAGTTTAAGACCACCACCCAGGGTGACAATGCTGAAGTTGTTGTTTTAAATCATTTAACTTCCCCCCACCCCACGAATTCCAAACCCCTTACCTACACTTTGTTCTCCATATAAAAAGGGCTATTTTAAAATGGAATTTAAGATTGTCTATTAAGTATGAATCGGCCATCTCAGATCTCCAACCATCTGAATAAAGCACCCATAAATATTCGATTGCTGTCATTGCTTATTGGGTTTGTTAGTGACAGGCAGCCCAAACTCCGGTGTCTTTTCCAGTTTCAGTCTTCGTACAAACCTGGAAGTAAAGCGAAGATTTCCTTCTTAGAGAGGAACAGCTTTTAGTGGGAATGTGCTAAAGTACTTTTGTACTTGAGAAATTGTAAGAATTTTGACAAGTGAAATAAATTTTCTGTGATTGCAACACATATTTTTAACAATATTTGAAATTTAAGTTGCTTTGGTTATCTTATGCTTAGTCTCAATATGTGTGCATGGGTAGGCAACCATAAACAAGCAAGTCTGATTTGAAAACTCCTTTCAATCAACACATAAAAAATTCTATGGAAGGGAGTTATCCCAGAACAATAAGCTGTTGTGAGTTAGATTTCTAATTGTTGAAACAGTCACTCTTAGACTTGTTCTTAGCTTATTAACTGTTCCTAAAAGGAATGCTACCTAGTTTTCTCCAAGAAATGTAATGCTAAATTAATCCTTAAATCACTGACTCAGTAGAGTGTCTTAAGAAAGGCAGGATGTTTACCTTGAACATTATTGTTTTAAAGTTTAATACAAATGTTTTAGTTCAAATGCTTAGAAAAGTGAGTTTGGAGTCAAATGTGCCATGAGCTAGCAGTTCAACTATTCACACATTCTGTTGTTGCATTTCAACTCTTTGCGTTTGCATTTACTTCTTTCTCAAGAAGTAAATTGCTAAATTGTCATGATCTACTTGGCAGTTGTCAGAACTCATGGTATCTCTCTTTCCTTTCCCTCTCTGCCCCCTGCCATACAGAGCAAATTTACCACTCCACTGGACCTCCTCTCCACCCCCGCTTTCTGTGGTCCTTATATAGGAGTTAACAAACTTAGCTCCACCACTTGTTTTCAGTTTCAGCCTCAATATCTCACTACTGCTTCAGAGCAAGCAGCCTTCAATGGCAGCAGGATCCCACTTTGGTTTTCCCCATTCTGTTTTTTATAACAGTTTCTGGAATATTCTCTTTCACTTTCACCAACTATGATTTACAAGAAATAAAACACATCAGTTTTAAATGAATAATAGTTTGATGTTGACAACTGTGTATAGTCATGTATACATGAAACTGGAAAAGCCAGAGTTTGGGCTGCCTGTCATCTACCAGATCCAGTAAGCAGAGGCAGGGATTGAATCTTTATGAGCATTTAATTGAAATGCTCTTTAAATGCTCAGTGATTGAGAAGATGGTGGGTTTGTACCCTAACAAACCACCTTAAATTCCACTTTAAACCAACCCTTTTTATGAGAAGAAAAGTGTATGTAAGGGGATTGGAATTCAAGGAAAAAGTTAATCAGCTAAAAGATAAAAAGCTGCAGCATTCTTTCATCCGTGTCCTGGGCGGTGGGTGTCTCACCCAGGAGCACAATGGCTTAGTACCATCTTGACTGCTTGCAGTCCTCCTGAGGCACAAAGTGGAACTGCTTATGGTCTCCTGGAGTCAAGGTGGGTCATACCTTCAGATCCTGAAACAAGAGCTTTTTACATACATTGATCACTAAACTTATTAGCTATTACCTGAAAGTAAAATTTTTCCAACATTTGAAATGTAATTCCCCCAGCAATGTAATTGCCACTCAGTCTTCAATAACTTATGACATAAGATATTTCTATCATTCCAGAACATTTCTTTATGTCCCTTTAAAATTAGTTTCCTCCCCCAACCCTGTGCCCCAGTGATCTGCTTTCTGTCACTATGGTTTATCCATTTCTAGAATTTTATATAAGTGGAAACTTACAGTATGTAATCTTTTGTGCAGGGCCAGGAGTAAGTGTGAAACAAGTGCTTTTGTGTCTGACTTCTTTCAGTTAGCATAATGTTTTTGACATTCTTTGGCCCTGTCCCCTGAATCTGTAGTTTGGTCCTTGATATTACCAATCCAATGAATGGGTATATTATAATTTATTTATTAACACACCAATTGATGGACATTGTTTCTAGTTTTTGTTTGTTGTAAGTAATACTGCTTTAAAGATCTGCTCTATTAGTCTTTATGTGGACATAGGAATTTATTTCTCATAACTAAATACAAGAGTGGGACTACTGAAAGGTATGGTAAGCATTTAATATTATATGACTTTACATATTTTCTTAATTGGCTGTACCATTTTACAATGCTTACATGAAATGTATGAAAGTTACTTTGTATCTTTGTCAACATTTTGTATTGGAAGTCTTTAATTTTATCATTTAGTAGGTATAAAGTGGTTTTTCAGTATGATTTTAATTTTTATTTCCCCAATAATCACTAATCACTAGAGAGCATCTTTTCACATGCTAATTTTCCATTTACATCTTAGTGAGATGTGCTTGGTTGTGTGTATCTTCCTATTTCTTTTACCTGGGGTTTATTGAGCTTTGATCTGTTAGTGGGTAGTTTCCATACATGATAAAAATTCAGCCACTGTTTCCATAAAACATTTTTGTCTGAATCTCCAACCCTTCCATTCTGAGATTCTAATTATATGCATGATGCATTTGAAGCCATATTAAGTTGCTGTATTCATTTTCATTTTTTATTGTTTTTTACCAGGGGAGAGTGCGAACGCAGTCCTCCTGTTACAGAACACAACAAGGGGGGGTGCCTGGGACGATATACTATTATTGAAAGAAGGCCCCGGGTCCGTTATGTCCGCCGCCAGAGGAAAGACGTCTCTCAATGCCAGAGATTCGTGAAAAGGAAAGGAAATGTTTATTTAATGCTATACTAACTTAAAGTAGTGACCTAATGTCTTTATCAAAAATCCTAAGGTCCCTAAAAACACCCACAAACACACAGTCTTTCCTTCCTTCCCCCTTTGCCCAGTTCAGAGTACCATATCTCAGGAAAGGAAAACGAAGTCCATGGCTCAGGCAGTCCTCTGGTTCTTAGTTAGTCCTCCATCTCGACTGGGAGACCTCCCTGGGTTCCTGGCACCCTCGGCTGAGTCGCCGGGATCTCTGCTAAAACCAGGTGGTGGTTCCCCCTTCTAAAGCTGTGGGGGTCCCCTCTGGCACAGGCACGTGGTCCTCTCTCCCAGGGCCACTGGAGTCTCCACTCTGTCAAGGCCGCGTGGTTCTCCTCCTCTGGGATGCGGGAGTCTCCACTCTGCCAAAGCCGCTTGGTTCTCCCTCCTCAGGGCTGCAGGAAGGGGAGAGTCCCCACTCTGTCCAAAGCTGCGTGGTTCCCCCTCAACGGCTGCCGTGTCTGGGTTTAAATCCCCCTCGCCAATCTTCTTCTGCAGCCCCATTTCCGACTCCTCCTACACTTGGGCACACTTGCCCTCAATCTGCTGTCTTCTCCAGCTTTTCTGGTCGCCATCGTGGGTCTGGGCAGGTGTGACCCCATGTCATGGAGCCAATCTTCTCCCAGCTCCCACGCAGGCACTGTAACTCAAGGGACCTGCCCCCCAGTCACATCTTGGGGGGGAGATCCCTTTCCATCCCCCTGGCCTTGAGCATGGCCATAGCTATTTAGCATATCTAAGTGACCAGCCAAAGGCTATAGGTATGCTAACTGACCATGCCATGGATTAGCTGCAAAGCTGCCCTGCATGTTCTTGCTCTGTGTGCCCCTTCCCCCAACTCACACCTGTGGGGGGAGGGGTGAAGACACCTTAAAATCTCCTGGACACCTTGAGTTCTGGACCCCATTTCAAATGCTTATTTGGGGTCCCCCCTCTTGGCTGCACCCTGTAACACTCCCCCCCCCCACACACACACACAAATTATGCAGTTGAATTTCCCAAATTTGGGGAAATCGTAAGGGTCAGCACACTTGGAGTGCAATGGGTGAGCCTCACCCTGGGAAAACCATCTACCTGATCATGGTATCTCCCCTGCCAGGTAAGTATACTGTTACATTCTTTTTTAAAAAATCTTTTCCTCTGAGCTTAATTTTTTGATAGTTTTGATAGGGGCTTAAGACTTGGGAAAATTTAGCTTAAGGTAAATAGTCATAAATCTAGCAAGTAATGTGTATGTTAAGTTTTTGTTTCAGTAACTACAGATAAGGCCTATCTTGGCACCTAAGAGTAAGCAGATGACCTCTTGGAGACATCTGTACCAGGAAGAAGCAAGCAACTACCCTTCCCCCTTGGAGGCAACTGTTGAATTTCAAAGGCTTTCGCTGACACCTTGTTTGCCCTCCTCCAACCCCCTTATAAAAGATCTGGCTGGGAAAGAGAGAGCAAAATGGTTTGTTAGGGTATGAACCCACCCACCATCTTCTCAGATCGCCGGCCATCTGAATAAAGCGCCTATAAAAGATTCAATCACTGTCATTGCTTATTGGATTTGGTAGTGACAGGCAGCCCGAACGCTGGTGTCTTTTCTGGTTACAGTTTCAATTGCTTTATCTTCATTTTCAAAAGCATTTTTTTTTTTTGCAGTGTCTTATGCTGTCTTATCTACTGTTAATCACATTGTGTTTTATTTTTTAGTCTGCAGGTTATATTTTTCACATCTATAAGTTTAATTTGGATTTTTGGGATTTTCATTTCTTTTTTCCTTATGTTGATGTGAAGTGTATTTTTTTAAAGATTTTTATTTATTTCACTTTTAGAGAGAAAACAGAGGGAGAAAGAGAGGGAGAGAAACATCAATTGGTTACCTTTTGCTTGCCCCCAACCAGGGACCTGCTCTGCCACCCAGGCATGTGCCCTGACTGGGAATCGAACTGTGACCCTTCAATGTGCAAACTGGTGCTCAACCCACTGAGAAACAACAGCAAGGGCTGAAGTATATATTTAATAGCTATTTTAATATCTTGCTGATTGTATTGACTTTCATTTCTAGATCTGTGTCATTTTTTTTCCTCTTGTTGTTAAAACATGTTTTGCTATTTACTCATATGCCTGGTAATTTAAGATTAGGTGCCAGTGTCAATTTATGTTATTTGAATAAATTTTTTGTATTCCTTTGAATATTTTTAGGTCTTAGTTCTAAAATGCAAGTAAATTAACTTGAAATCCATTTGATACTTTTAATGTTTACTTTTAAGCTTTGTTAGGGTGGACCTGACCTGAGGGCAAGTCTATTTATCTTATTACATTATGGCCAGAGGTGGAAATCTGTCCAGAATTCTTTTTGATAGGAGTTCTCTCAGGCCTTCTTCGGTGGAAAACATTATAACTTACCACATCATAAAAAGCCAGATCATTTTGCCACAAAACCAAGCTTAAAACAATTAATACTGAATGGTAGTTAAGGGTTTCTGAAATGATTCAGACCTGGTTTAATCTCATTTCTTCTGCTGTGAAACTTCTTAGGCCTGTACTGGTTAAACTTCTTAGGCCTTGATTACTTTATCTGCAAAACAAAGATAATAATAGTACCTTCCATTGGCTGGGTAGATTAAAGGAAATGAGGGTAAGAGATGCAGCACATTTAATACCATTATCACAACTTAAAGCGTCAGATTTTATAAATATGTCAGGTCTCAAACAGGTTTTATTGCAAAGAAACGTAAAAAACAAATATGTCACAATTTAGCAAAATGCATTGTCATAATTTTAGTAATTTTTTCCTTAGTTGACAAATAAAACTGCAAAATTGCAAGATATTTGAAGTGTGTGTTAGTATGATTTGATAAAAACTGTGAAAGGATTTCTGCAAACTAAGTAGTTTGATTTGTAGGCCAGCATTCAGTCACTGAGCCACACCAGCCAGGGCTTGCCAACCAATTAGTTAACACATTTATTACCTGTTTTTGTGTGTGTGGTGAGGGCATTTAAGTTCTACTCTTACCAAATTCTACTGCAGAATAGTGTCATCAGCTATAGTCGACTATAGTCACTGGTTGTACATTAGATCCCCAGATCTTATTCATTTTATAATTAAAAGTGTGGACTATTTTACCAACCACCCTATTTTCCCACCCTCAGTCTCTGGCAACCACCTTCTTACTGTTTCTAGAGTTTGAGGTGTAGTTGTGCCTTTTTGTTTGTTTAAGATACCACAAATAAGTGTTACTTTGTAGTGTATTTGTCTTATCTCTGTCTGGCTTATTTCACCTAGTGTAATGTCCTCAAGTTCCATTCATTTTGCCTGTGGTAGGATTTTCTTTTTTTTTTTTTTTTTCCTGGTGGAAAGTTACAGAGGTAGGAAAAGCAAGCCAGCTGGGCATGGGTTCAAGAAACAAGTTGCAGAGGCAAAAGAAAGGTCCTTGAAGCTTAGGAGAAAGCAAAGCACATTTAGAAAAGAGGGCATGCTCTAGAGAATGAGAGCACAGTAGGATTTTCTTTTTTAAGACTGAATAACATTCTATGGTCTATACATACCACATCCTTTTAACCCATTCATCTGTTCATGAATATGTAGGATGTTTTCTTATGTTGGCTATAGTGAATATTGCTGTAATGAACATGGGAGTGCAGATATCTCTTCAAGATTCTGTTTTTATTTCCTTTGGATATATACCCAGAAGAGGAATTGGTGGAGTATAGTAGTTCTTAGTTATTTGTATTTTTTTAGTTACCTCCTGGTATCATTTTGACTCATTTTCTTCTTTTGTGTTATTCATAGTTCTCTTAGTCATATGCATGGCTATTACATAGTCATATGTCATATGTATAAACTATTTAACTAATAAATACCCAATCATTTTTTGGCAAATATTTCCTACTTTATTCTGTTTTCTAATTTTATTTACAACCATTTTGATGTATTGACAGTTTAAGGTTTTATAGTCAAATCTCTTGCTTTTTTTTTTCAAAGACTTTCCACTGCTTTGATGCTTAGAAAGATATTTACCTAATAAAATAAATGGCTCAAGAGCCAAACCCAAAACCTGAAAGTTTCCTTATTATGTAAAAGCTACTCATTATTTGTTAAACATTATTATTAATGCCTAAACTAATACTAGGCACTGAAAATACCACAGTGGTAAAAAAATAAACATCCAAGTTAGTCAGACCTCAAGTATTTCCCCTCTTCATTCCTACTTCCACCAGTCTTAGTTTCCATGGTGACCTCCTGTCTCTGTTAACCTACTCTTCAAATGCCAGAGCAATTTTCCAAAAAGCCAAATCTGATTCTGCCATACCTGTGTTTGAAAGCCTTAAATAAGTCCAAGATAAAGTCTAAATAGTTTATCTTATTATCTCTATCTTCTTTATTCATTACCCAAATCCTACAAATTTTGCACACAAATTATTTCCTGTGGTGTTGGGAATGTTTTAAATATCTTTTCTCTTTAAATAACTTTTATTCATTTAGTTAATATCATTGTCCTCTAAAATACTCTATATTTTAATTGTTATATGACCAAACATCTTGTTACCCAGTGGTTCTAAACAAATGGAAATCTAACAGGTCCTCTTTATATTCTGATTAGCTTTCACCCCAAGGAAGAATAGGACATGCAAAGGCAGCAATAAGTGTATATCTTATCTACATCATAATAAAATACACACTAAACTATAGTGTCTTTTTAAATTGGATTCTACAGAAATGAGAAAATATGGTAGCAAACACAGCAAGTCAAATAAACTAAAATCGCATTCTTAAAATGAACTTCATGGTAATAATTATTTGTGACTGAAGTTGCACACATTTTCTTCCAATGCCCTTTTACTCAGACTTTTGGAAGGTCAATTCATTAATAACCCAAAGAATGAGGACAAGTTTTCAGCCTCAGTAGGACTGGTTCTTTGGGTTGTAGGAACTGATTCATATTTAGTTTGCTAATAAATAGAATTGCAGTTCTTATCAAGAATAGCCAATGGCTTTTGTGAAGTGAGCTTGCTAGACACTCTGTACTGTTCCCAGAATAGATTTAACTGTGGTTAAAAGCAAAACCACAACACAACCCACTCTTACTTACCCTTTACAAATTAGAGAAACCAAAGACTAAAATGTGTATGGTAGAGTTTCTCAACTTGAAGGTCTTGGCTCTCTAATGGTAAACACTGAATGTTGTGCATTTTTCTGAGTCAAAGTATCTATAGCTTTAAACAAAGTGTAGAAGGAGCTCATGACCCACTAAAATGCTAAGATCTATAGTTTGTTAACAGGAACTCTGTTTACTGTATCTACTTTGTCCCATCTGACCCTGCACTTACTCTATTGTCTCCATCCTTCATTTTGCTTGTTCATTTTGAATAATAAATACTGACTTTATTCTGTGGATTAGTATTTATATTTTGTGTATCTGGATTGATGTGTCTATCATAGTGTAAGCTTCTTAAGACCTGAAACTGTCTGAGTCACTGTAGTCAATTTAGTGGTCAATTTTTTTTTACCAACATTTAAAAATGACTGTAATAGGATTTTTCTAAGTCTTGGAACCAAAATGTAGCACATCACACAGTCTTGGTGCTCATCACACTGCATTATATTTACCAGCTGTTTTCCCTAGCCTGTAAGCAGGCTGCAAGCTGAAGAGGAGAGATGTCTCTGTTCATATTGTATTCCTAGCTGAGGCACTATGCCAGGCACATATATCAAACTACATAACAGTATTAAAAAGTGAAAATAAGCACTCTTTATCCAACCCCACATACCCTGTTCTACCCTTGACATTAACCACTGTTAGCAATTTAGTATGTATTTTTTAATATTTTTTCTCATTTATTTCCCTGCCCCTTTGATTTAGACACACTTGACACATAACATTGTATTACTTTTAGGTATGCAACATAATAAATGGATATATGTTATAATATGTATATAATGTAAAATGATTAGCACAATAAGTTTAGTCAGTGTCCATCACCAAATATTTACTTTTTCTTTGTGATGATGAAAACTGAAAAGTTGACACCCATGCTGCTGCCACTACCAGAACCAATAAGTAGAGACAAGGATTGAATCGTTACTCATGCCTTATTCAGATGCTAGCAATATAAGAAGA